TGTCTTAACATTCCAGGTCAACATTAACAAACAGAAGAAAGACGCATTTGAAATACTAAAACCTGTATTGGATATCGATCCTGAATCTGATCCTTATTTTGATGAAAGGATGGGTATTAATAAAACAAAGCTTCTGCGACCGAAGAGGATGAATTTCCAGTTTGTGGAGGAAGGAAAATGGTCACGAGATGCTGAATCAATAAAATTGAAGGTACTGGAACAGAAAATGAGTAGAAAGAAAAGTCTTTGTTTGTTGATTGCATGTTAAACTGAGTCACGGGTTTTTGAGAGACTTGTCCTCTCCTCAAGAATGATCAATTCTGATACCACCATTCCAAATTCAATTGCTTCTTTTATAATACCCACCTAATCAATGACTTATAGTCAGTTATTAGTTATTTCTTTTTGTTACAATGTTACAGGGCTTCATCCCATGATCCTCCTATATCTGCTTCTGTAGACATAGACTCCCCTAATAGGGTGTCTCAGCTCCGTGTAATCTTTACCTGTCTATCCCCTTCTTGTAGTTCCGTATAATCTTTTCAGTTGCCTTGTATGTGCTTTGACAGCTTTGTCATTATTATTTGGCTTATGCAGAGTAAATTTGGAGAAGCTCAAGCAAAAGAGCACAGGGCCAAACAAGCACAGTTGGCAAAGGCAAAGGCTGCTCCTGATATAAATCCAAACTTAATAGAAATAACAGAGAGAGTTGTAATTAAGGAAAAACCCAAGGACCAAATTCCAGAAATTGAATGGTGGTAAGTTTATGACACAGCCTGAACTGCAGCTTTCTATTTGCGTTCATAAAAGGTTCATGATTGTTTTTTAGGGTGTTATTTGAATGTCACAAATTATAGCAATTCAGATTCAGCATGTATACTGTATTTGGTTGGTTTAAGACTTCAAGTAGTTATGACCTTGTGTTCTTTTATTTCTGTTTATAATGATAACTATAATCATGTTAGAAGATACAATGTGACAAACTGGAATAAACTAATCGAGTAGTTTAAAAACAGACTGGTTGAATAGTTGGTAAATTGAATCTGACAATGAACATTTGACTCTGGGAATCTATTTGAGTGTGGTATTGTCTCATTTTATTGTGTCCTGTTAATTATTTGAATTTAACAGGGACGTGCCTCTTCTGCATGCTGGAAATTATGGTGATATTGACAATGGAATCATAGGCGAAGATAAACTGAAAATGGAAAAGTTCACTATTTATGTGGAGCATCCTCGACCAATTGAACCACCTGCTGAGCCTGCCCCTCCACCACCTCAACCACTCAAACTAACTAAGCAAGAACAGAAGAAACTCCGGACACAAAGACGAATAGCTAAGGAGAAGGATCGACAGGAGATGATTAGACAGGGTGTCATAGAACCGCCAAAACCAAAGGTCAAGATTAGCAATTTAATGAAAGTACTTGGCACTGAAGCAACTCAAGATCCTACTCGGCTTGAAAAAGAAGTCCGTAGTGCAGCTGCTGAGCGTGAACAGGCTCACATAGATAGAAACATTGCACGCAAGCTTACTCCTGCTGAGCTGCGGGAGAAAAAGGAAAGGAAGCTGTTTGATGACCCAAATACACCGGAGACTCTTGTCTCTCTTTACAAGATAAATGATCTCTCACATCCGAAGTCCCGCTTTAGAGTTGATGTTAATGCTCAAGAGAACCGTTTGACTGGATGTGCTGTGATCTGCGATGGTATTAGTATTGTTGTGGTTGAGGGTGGAAGCAAGTCGATTAAGAGGTATGGGAAACTTATGCTCAGGCGTATTAATTGGAGTGAAGTTTCAAAAGAGAAAGAAGAAGATGAAGATTCAGATGATGATAAGACTGTCAATAAGTGTGTTCTGGTGTGGCAAGGAAGTGTTGCGAAACCCAGCTTCAATAAGTTCAGCGTTCATGATTGCATCACTGAAGCAGCCGGCCGTAAAGTTTTTGTGGATGCTGGTGTTCCTCATTATTGGGACCTAGCTGTGAATTACGTAGACGATGAAGCTGTTTGACATGTCTTAAAGTGTTTTTGTTCTTCGTTATTGGCCTTAATAAGGCCTTCTGGTGAGTTATCAGTTTTATAATTTGCATTTAGCAGTGTTTTAAACAAAATAATACACACGACAGATCAATTAGTGGTGTAACCCTTTTCATGTTGGTTTGGATAGGATCCAGTCAAATATGTTAATGGTTGCCTGCTAACATTTGCTTAAATTTGAAGCCTTTGTGATTTGACTATGTCTCCATGACTCTGATTTGATATACTAATATTTTATTGATCTCCCTTCCTACATACCCTATTACCCACTGAAAAGCCGTTATTCATAATAGAAGGTGGTACGAGGGATTTTTGAAAAAGTAGCTGGTTGATTGAGTTGAATGAAGCCTTTTTGAACTTCAAACTTCTCAGCCTATTACTTGGTAGTTATACAAATGTCATTTTTTCAGATTGATCATAATTGAATTAGTTATATTATTTTGGATTATGTTAATTTATTGTCAATTATCAAATCCAAAATAGCTTAAGAAGTTTCATAATGCTTAATTAGTAACCTGACAAATAGTTGTGCAAGAGATTAGTTTATTTGAATTTGTATAATTCGTATGACTTATTTCCAAAAGTTGGATCAAATTGTGCTGTGAACACTCACTAATTATTTCCACAAAAAACTATTCCGGTGCCCTCTAACTTTTTAGCCACTGACTTAGAGATTTTGAAAAACGATAGTGAAATGCTTATAAATTCACGGTCTACTTTCATTCCATCATCTACAGTATCCACCCACCATCGCTTATTTATTGGCTGCCAAAATTTTCCCTTGTTACTCGACAAACCTAACTATGAAGTCATTTTCCTAGTTTGAATTCAGCCCTTGATATCAAAATTCTAGAAACTGAAATCATATATATTTGAAACTGAAAAAAACATCAACATTTACCACAGCCAATTTTAGCTTTAATACATTTCAAAGCTTAAAACTGACGACTTCTAAGATACTGCACTTAATTTTTATTTGTTTTTTCAAAATGCAATGGTATGAAAATGGAAGTTATCAATTCAGTTTTATGATATCGTTTTACATTTCACTTGAATATGTGATTTAACAACCAGCATTAAATATTTTTGTTTAACTAAATTCCTTTTATTATGGAATATCAGTTTTCTCTGTAATTATTAAGAGATACCTAGCTTAAAGGTGGGAATATATCTACTTAAAAAACATTAGAAGCGACACAAGTTAGTGCAGACTATATATTTATATTTGAATGATAATAATTTTCATTATCTATTTGAATTATCTATTTGTTTCCGTATCTAATTCCAGTAATTATTTTTTCGTAGAATTTAAATCAAACGTAATTTTTTTTTCGTATATATTTCTTTTAAATGTGTATGATATGATAATTTTATAAATTTGCAATTATTTCTTTATTAGGAATAAGATTATTGAAATGTTTGCTTAGGAAGCCTTTTTGGGAAAACAAAGTTTCTTGTTATTTGATACTTAAAGTAGTATATAACTTATAAACTAAGAGTTACACTTTTTCCAATTTTGCTCATACTAATTTTTAAAAAAGAGGTTTTTTCTCTTCCTTTATTAACGTCTTCATTTTAAATAAATTATTATAAGCACGTACTTAATCAATTCACTTTTATTTTTTTTATGAAGCGTACTTTGTCTGATATGTAAGAGCAAATTTAAATATAAGTTTACTGATTTTTAATCATTATATGTCCACATATATAAGTATGCTTGTTATGCTATCAGAAACTTATCAACCAATCAATTAAGTTCCAATTCTTTTTTTTTTAACTTTCAATAAATTCCTAATATTATATGCGTAGATTGCTATAGATGACCTATCAATAAATTTAAGTTCTAATAATTTAACTTATCAGATTTCTAAAAAAAAATTAACATGTTTTTATGACAAATGATGAGAGACATTTTTATAAATTTATATAAAAAAATTAATACTATTTTCAGTAAAAAAAAAATTCAAGTAATTATTTAACTCATAAAATATTGATATCACATTCAACTCAAAATGTTAAAAAAATAAATTTACAATTTTTTTCATATAGCTTAACTTCCTATTTTTATTAGGGAGAATAAAACTCACTTCTTAATTGAACTTCTTAACATATATTATATTTGTCTTCTTGGTACACCAAATTAAAGAAAGGGATCTTGGGGAAGAAGGTTAAACAGCAAAAAAATGGACCAGCTATCACAGTAACAATGTCTTATTTCTTACAAAGTACATCTTTTCTCCTAAATTTCAATAAGCTTTCTATATAGTTTTCCTTCGNATTGAATGGTGGTAAGTTTATGACACAGCCTGAACTGCAGCTTTCTATTTGCGTTCATAAAAGGTTCATGATTGTTTTTTAGGGTGTTATTTGAATGTCACAAATTATAGCAATTCAGATTCAGCATGTATACTGTATTTGGTTGGTTTAAGACTTCAAGTAGTTATGACCTTGTGTTCTTTTATTTCTGTTTATAATGATAACTATAATCATGTTAGAAGATACAATGTGACAAACTGGAATAAACTAGTCGAGTAGTTTAAAAACAGACTGGTTGAATAGTTGGTAAATTGAATCTGACAATGAACATTTGACTCTGGGAATCTATTTGAGTGTGGTATTGTCTCATTTTATTGTGTCCTGTTAATTATTTGAATTTAACAGGGACGTGCCTCTTCTGCATGCTGGAAATTATGGTGATATTGACAATGGAATCATAGGCGAAGATAAACTGAAAATGGAAAAGTTCACTATTTATGTGGAGCATCCTCGACCAATTGAACCACCTGCTGAGCCTGCCCCTCCACCACCTCAACCACTCAAACTAACTAAGCAAGAACAGAAGAAACTCCGGACACAAAGACGAATAGCTAAGGAGAAGGATCGACAGGAGATGATTAGACAGGGTGTCATAGAACCGCCAAAACCAAAGGTCAAGATTAGCAATTTAATGAAAGTACTTGGCACTGAAGCAACTCAAGATCCTACTCGGCTTGAAAAAGAAGTCCGTAGTGCAGCTGCTGAGCGTGAACAGGCTCACATAGATAGAAACATTGCACGCAAGCTTACTCCTGCTGAGCTGCGGGAGAAAAAGGAAAGGAAGCTGTTTGATGACCCAAATACACCGGAGACTCTTGTCTCTCTTTACAAGATAAATGATCTCTCACATCCGAAGTCCCGCTTTAGAGTTGATGTTAATGCTCAAGAGAACCGTTTGACTGGATGTGCTGTGATCTGCGATGGTATTAGTATTGTTGTGGTTGAGGGTGGAAGCAAGTCGATTAAGAGGTATGGGAAACTTATGCTCAGGCGTATTAATTGGAGTGAAGTTTCAAAAGAGAAAGAAGAAGATGAAGATTCAGATGATGATAAGACTGTCAATAAGTGTGTTCTGGTGTGGCAAGGAAGTGTTGCGAAACCCAGCTTCAATAAGTTCAGCGTTCATGATTGCATCACTGAAGCAGCCGGCCGTAAAGTTTTTGTGGATGCTGGTGTTCCTCATTATTGGGACCTAGCTGTGAATTACGTAGACGATGAAGCTGTTTGACATGTCTTAAAGTGTTTTTGTTCTTCGTTATTGGCCTTAATAAGGCCTTCTGGTGAGTTATCAGTTTTATAATTTGCATTTAGCAGTGTTTTAAACAAAATAATACACACGACAGATCAATTGGTGGTGTAACCCTTTTCATGTTGGTTTGGATAGGATCCAGTCAAATATGTTAATGGTTGCCTGCTAACATTTGCTTAGATTTGAAGCCTTTGTGATTTGACTATGTCTCCATGTCTCTGATTTGATATACTAATATTTTATTGATCTCCCTTCCTACATACCCTATTACCCACTGAAAAGCCGTTATTCATAATAGAAGGTGGTACGAGGGATTTTTGAAAAAGTAGCTGGTTGATTGAGTTGAATGAAGCCTTTTTGAACTTCAAACTTCTCAGCCTATTACTTGGTAGTTATACAAATGTCATTTTTTCAGATTGATCATAATTGAATTAGTTATATTAATTTGGATTATGTTAATTTATTTTGTCAATTATCAAATCAAAAATAGCTTAAGTTTCATAATGCTTAATTAGTAACCTGACAAATTGTTGTGCAAGAGATTAGTTTATTTGAATTTGTATAATTCGTATGACTTATTTCCAAAAGTTGGATCAAATTGTGCTGTGAACACTCACTAATTATTTCCACAAAAAACTATTCCGGTGCCCTCTAACTTTTTAGCCACTGACTTAGAGATTTTGAAAAACGATAGTGAAATGCTTATAAATTCACGGTCTACTTTCATTCCATCATCTACAGTATCCACCCACCATCGCTTATTTATTGGCTGCCAAAATTTTCCCTTGTTACTCGACAAACCTAACTATGAAGTCATTTTCCTAGTTTGAATTCAGCCCTTGATATCAAAATTCTAGAAACTGAAATCATATATATTTGAAACTGAAAAAAACATCAACATTTACCACAGCCAATTTTAGCTTTAATACATTTCAAAGCTTAAAACTGACGACTTCTAAGATACTGCACTTAATTTTTATTTGTTTTTTCAAAATGCAATGGTATGAAAATGGAAGTTATCAATTCAGTTTTATGATATCGTTTTACATTTCACTTGAATATGTGATTTAACAACCAGCATTAAATATTTTTGTTTAACTAAATTCCTTTTATTATGGAATATCAGTTTTCTCTGTAATTATTAAGAGATACCTAGCTTAAAGGTGGGAATATATCTACTTAAAAAACATTAGAAGCGACACAAGTTAGTGCAGACTATATATTTATATTTGAATGATAATAATTTTCATTATCTATTTGAATTATCTATTTGTTTCCGTATCTAATTCCAGTAATTATTTTTTCGTAGAATTTAAATCAAACGTAATTTTTTTTTCGTATATATTTCTTTTAAATGTGTATGATATGATAATTTTATAAATTTGCAATTATTTCTTTATTAGGAATAAGATTATTGAAATGTTTGCTTAGGAAGCCTTTTTGGGAAAACAAAGTTTCTTGTTATTTGATACTTAAAGTAGTATATAACTTATAAACTAAGAGTTACACTTTTTCCAATTTTGCTCATACTAATTTTTAAAAAAGAGGTTTTTTCTCTTCCTTTATTAACGTCTTCATTTTAAATAAATTATTATAAGCACGTACTTAATCAATTCACTTTTATTTTTTTTATGAAGCGTACTTTGTCTGATATGTAAGAGCAAATTTAAATATAAGTTTACTGATTTTTAATCATTATATGTCCACATATATAAGTATGCTTGTTATGCTATCAGAAACTTATCAACCAATCAATTAAGTTCCAATTCTTTTTTTTTTAACTTTCAATAAATTCCTAATATTATATGCGTAGATTGCTATAGATGACCTATCAATAAATTTAAGTTCTAATAATTTAACTTATCAGATTTCTAAAAAAAAATTAACATGTTTTTATGACAAATGATGAGAGACATTTTTATAAATTTATATAAAAAAATTAATACTATTTTCAGTAAAAAAAAAATTCAAGTAATTATTTAACTCATAAAATATTGATATCACATTCAACTCAAAATGTTAAAAAAATAAATTTACAATTTTTTTCATATAGCTTAACTTCCTATTTTTATTAGGGAGAATAAAACTCACTTCTTAATTGAACTTCTTAACATATATTATATTTGTCTTCTTGGTACACCAAATTAAAGAAAGGGATCTTGGGGAAGAAGGTTAAACAGCAAAAAAATGGACCAGCTATCACAGTAACAATGTCTTATTTCTTACAAAGTACATCTTTTCTCCTAAATTTCAATAAGCTTTCTATATAGTTTTCCTTCGACCAAATTATAGACAAAGGGATCATAACCCAACAAGTAGGAACCAAACTATAGTTTTTTTTTCTCTTATATTTGAATCGATCCAGCCTTATAGGTTGAGTGCAGATGCAGTGCCTTGCAGTGAAATCTGCAAGAATTTGATGAAGTCAAACATGTTTAGCACAATACAGCTAACTAACAACTTCATATTATACACGGTTTCGTAATTTCAATCATTTTTCCACGCCTTTGCATGTCTCTTCCTCCAATTTGTTTTAGTCAAATGATTCTTCCTCAGATATGATTCAATATATACACAATTGACCCGGAAGATATGGACCATATAGCTACATTAACCAAAATCATGTTGCAGTATATAAGAGTATCATTTCATGGCCATGATAACCAACAACCATTAATCTTAAAATTCTTGGCTTTTTGCAATGGCCACTACAAATTCTCTCAGTGTGTCTTTTCCTGGCTTCAAACTAAAACTTTGTCTGACTCTGATTGCATGTGTAATTGGGGTTACTTCAGCTCAGTTATCTGCTAAATTCTATGAAAAAAGTTGCCCTGGTGCTCTTGCCACCATAAGGAAAGCAGTGAAACAAGCTGTGCACAATGAGTTTCGCATGGGGGCATCCTTGCTCCGACTCCATTTCCATGACTGCTTCGTTCAAGCAAGTCTCATTTCTCTCTCAACACCATCATGTTTACGTATAAAAACTTTACATTCTAGCTAATTCCTCCATGGTGCATTGCTGCATGCATGAGCTACAATTAATACTCTATATGCATTCAGCAATGTCTAGAATAATGATCACTCTCCAAACTGAATGAGTTTATATATAAACACTGAATATGAAAAGTGAGTGTGTGTTGGTTGAGAGAAAATCAATTGACATTGATCTGTTTTGTTTTGGTATTACAGGGATGTGATGCATCTGTGTTGTTAGACGACACGGATACTTTCACTGGGGAGAAGAATTCGTTTCCAAATGCTAACTCTCTTAGAGGTTTTGATGTGATTGATAACATAAAATCAGAGTTGGAAAACATGTGCCAAGATGTTGTCTCTTGTGCAGACATCTTAGCCGTTGCTGCGAGAGACGCTGTTTTTGAAGTAAGTACTTGCTACTTTATCTTGTTCGATTAAGGTTCGTAGATATGTTGCAGAATTCAATGACATGCATTAAAAGAAAGTGATTTCTAAGATAAGTTGAAATCATCTCAGCTTGGTGGACCAAGATGGGAAGTACCGTNATTCCGGTGCCCTCTAACTTTTTAGCCACTGACTTAGAGATTTTGAAAAACGATAGTGAAATGCTTATAAATTCACGGTCTACTTTCATTCCATCATCTACAGTATCCACCCACCATCGCTTATTTATTGGCTGCCAAAATTTTCCCTTGTTACTCGACAAACCTAACTATGAAGTCATTTTCCTAGTTTGAATTCAGCCCTTGATATCAAAATTCTAGAAACTGAAATCATATATATTTGAAACTGAAAAAAACATCAACATTTACCACAGCCAATTTTAGCTTTAATACATTTCAAAGCTTAAAACTGACGACTTCTAAGATACTGCACTTAATTTTTATTTGTTTTTTCAAAATGCAATGGTATGAAAATGGAAGTTATCAATTCAGTTTTATGATATCGTTTTACATTTCACTTGAATATGTGATTTAACAACCAGCATTAAATATTTTTGTTTAACTAAATTCCTTTTATTATGGAATATCAGTTTTCTCTGTAATTATTAAGAGATACCTAGCTTAAAGGTGGGAATATATCTACTTAAAAAACATTAGAAGCGAAACAAGTTAGTGCAGACTATATATTTATATTTGAATGATAATAATTTTCATTATCTATTTGAATTATAGGGCTGGGTTTCATTTTTACAAACTGCATTACCTATTCTTAGAAATTTGTTTCCGTATCTAATTCCAGTAATTATTTTTTGGTAGAATTTAAATCAAAGGTAATTTTTTTTTCGTATATATTTCTTTTAAATGTGTATGATAAGATAATTTTATAAATTTGCAATTATTTCTTTATTAGGAATAAGATTATTGAAATGTTTGCTTAGGAAGCCTTTTTGGGAAAACAAAGTTTCTTGTTATTTGATACTTAAAGTAGTATATAACTTATAAACTAAGAGTTACACTTTTTCCAATTTTGCTCATACTAATTTTTAAAAAAGAGGTTTTTTCTCTTCCTTTATTAACGTCTTCATTTTAAATAAATTATTATAAGCACGTACTTAATCAATTCACTTTTATTTTTTTTATGAAGCATACTTTGTCTGATATGTAAGAGCAAATTTAAATATAAGTTTACTGATTTTTAATCATTATATGTCCACATATATAAGTATGCTTGTTATGCTATCAGAAACTTATCAACCAATCAATTAAGTTCCAATTCTTTTTTTTTTAACTTTCAATAAATTCCTAATATTATATGCGTAGATTGCTATAGATGACCTATCAATAAATTTAAGTTCTAATAATTTAACTTATCAGATTTCTAAAAAAAAATTAACATGTTTTTATGACAAATGATGAGAGACATTTTTATAAATTTATATAAAAAAATTAATACTATTTTCAGTAAAAAAAAAATTCAAGTAATTATTTAACTCATAAAATATTGATATCACATTCAACTCAAAATGTTAAAAAAATAAATTTACAATTTTTTTCATATAGCTTAACTTCCTATTTTTATTAGGGAGAATAAAACTCACTTCTTAATTGAACTTCTTAACATATATTATATTTGTCTTCTTGGTACACCAAATTAAAGAAAGGGATCTTGGGGAAGAAGGTTAAACAGCAAAAAAATGGACCAGCTATCACAGTAACAATGTCTTATTTCTTACAAAGTACATCTTTTCTCCTAAATTTCAATAAGCTTTCTATATAGTTTTCCTTCGGCCACCAAATTATAGACAAAGGGATCATAACCCAACAAGTAGGAACCAAACTATAGTTTTTTTTTCTCTTATATTTGAATCGATCCAGCCTTATAGGTTGAGTGCAGATGCAGTGCCTTGCAGTGAAATCTGCAAGAATTTGATGAAGTCAAACATGTTTAGCACAATACAGCTAACTAACAACTTCATATTATACACGGTTTCGTAATTTCAATCATTTTTCCACGCCTTTGCATGTCTCTTCCTCCAATTTGTTTTAGTCAAATGATTCTTCCTCAGATATGATTCAATATATACACAATTGACCCGGAAGATATGGACCATATAGCTACATTAACCAAAATCATGTTGCAGTATATAAGAGTATCATTTCATGGCCATGATAACCAACAACCATTAATCTTAAAATTCTTGGCTTTTTGCAATGGCCACTACAAATTCTCTCAGTGTGTCTTTTCCTGGCTTCAAACTAAAACTTTGTCTGACTCTGATTGCATGTGTAATTGGGGTTACTTCAGCTCAGTTATCTGCTAAATTCTATGAAAAAAGTTGCCCTGGTGCTCTTGCCACCATAAGGAAAGCAGTGAAACAAGCTGTGCACAATGAGTTTCGCATGGGGGCATCCTTGCTCCGACTCCATTTCCATGACTGCTTCGTTCAAGCAAGTCTCATTTCTCTCTCAACACCATCATGTTTACGTATAAAAACTTTACATTCTAGCTAATTCCTCCATGGTGCATTGCTGCATGCATGAGCTACAATTAATACTCTATATGCATTCAGCAATGTCTAGAATAATGATCACTCTCCAAACTGAATGAGTTTATATATAAACACTGAATATGAAAAGTGAGTGTGTGTTGGTTGAGAGAAAATCAATTGACATTGATCTGTTTTGTTTTGGTATTACAGGGATGTGATGCATCTGTGTTGTTAGACGACACGGATACTTTCACTGGGGAGAAGAATTCGTTTCCAAATGCTAACTCTCTTAGAGGTTTTGATGTGATTGATAACATAAAATCAGAGTTGGAGAACATGTGCCAAGATGTTGTCTCTTGTGCAGACATCTTAGCCGTTGCTGCGAGAGACGCTGTTTTTGAAGTAAGTACTTGCTACTTTATCTTGTTCGATTAAGGTTCGTAGATATGTTGCAGAATTCAATGACATGCATTAAAAGAAAGTGATTTCTAAGATAAGTTGAAATCATCTCAGCTTGGTGGACCAAGATGGGAAGTACCGTTAGGCAGAAGAGATTCAACCACAGCAAGTTTAGCCGAATCTAATTCAGACTTACCAGCTCCTTTTTTCGATCTCGATGGCCTCACCAGTGCTTTCGCCAAGAAAAATTTCACTGTCCAAGAACTAGTTACTTTATCAGGTAAAACACCACTGATATACAAAATAGCTTGTTCAAATGATTGATACGTTGGGAATTCAAGTTGGATAAAAATGAGAAAGTAAAACACTGTACATTGAAATACTCGTTAACTAGTTGTCTTACAGTTTTCTGTGGTGTGAATCTTTATATGGTTGAACTCATATACATAGATCCAACATATCATATACAAAATAGCTTGTTGAAATGATCATTGAAAATTCGAGTGTGAGTCACAACAATAGGATAAAAATAAGAAAGTAGAATCATATATAAAAATTAAAGACCCATAAATTGGAGACTTAATGTTATTTTAAAGAGTGGTGTGAATCCTTCGTACGTGTGCTTGTTTCTATCTAGTGAACCTCCTCGATGGATGCAACACGATAAAGTATCGATCTTGATAAACTTTTTTTTCTTGATGGTTCAGGTGGTCACTCAATAGGACTGGTGAGGTGTCGTTTCTTCAGAAAGAGGATTTATAACGAGAGCAACATCGACCAGACATTTGCAGAGGAAAAGCAACAAGAGTGTCCCTTCGAAGGTGGTGACGACAACTTAAGTGCTTTCGATTCGACCACTCCGTTCAAATTTGACAATGCGTTCTACAAGAACTTGTTGCAGCAAAAGGGTCTGGTCCACTCCGATCAACAGCTCTTCAACGGCGTCAATGGAACTAATAGCCCCACAAAGGATCAAGTAGTTAATTATGCGAGAAACATGGCAAAATTCAAGAAGGATTTCGCAGCTGCAATGTTGAAGATGAGCATGATGACCCCACTTACTGGTTCAGACGGTGAGATCAGGAAAAAGTGCAGCCGAGTGAATCCTCCTTCAACCTGACCAACTTCATCTTCAATTATATGTATTCAATCAAATAAAGCCTTCTTCTTTCCTCTGTTTCTCACCTTCAACTGTAATCTAATGCAATTTCTTAACTAAAGTAATCAATGAAACATATATATGAAGATTCTTGAAGTAAATGATTTAGTATATATTATCATAATTGCAAATTATATTGTAATTTATATGGTTCTATGATAAACTCATGTAATATTTACATGAAAAAGTCATAAATTTAAAAATATATTTTGAGACACATAATTTTTTATACATTCGTTTAATACTATTCCTTCTTTTTTTTTTACTTTTTTTTCTGAAAAATTATAAAAATTTATTCTTTTAAAATTATCTTACCCCTATGTGAATTCAATGTACATCATGATATCCTTATTCATTAATGTGTTTTTATATATTGTTTAAGTTTTTCTTTTTTCTATATGATGTAAAACTCTAATCCAGCTAAATTTTCTGACTCTAAATTTTATTCAAAAAAATCCTTTATTTAATGTGACTCACACTTATAACCTAATATATAACAAATTAAATTAAAATAAGGGTGGGTGCATGCATGTGTTTGATTTTGAAGAAACTTAAAAAATGGCATAAATCCCAAAGCATATTGGGTGGCTTCAAATATATATTTACTATTGAAGCTAGATCATCAAATTCACTGAGAGATCTTTTCTAGGTTATATTATATTAGTATTATGAAGGCTTCTGTATTTGTGAAGAAACGCGTTTTTGCTTGACAGAGGGGCTGCGTAAGCCCTTTCTTTACACATTTTAAGATTTTGACTTCCCTTAAATCACGAGTATAGCATAAAATAGAATTACTCACGTAAAAAAAAAATACAAAAAATTCTTTTTTTTATAATTATTTTATTACTTCTCATGTATCAAATGAATATAAATATGTCACCTCACCATACTACTTATACAACAAACTTTAAGGCTATTTGTTGTTTTTTTATAAAAAAAATGATATTTTAACACACAATTTTTTATATTTATTTGACACAATCTCTTTTTACTTTTTAAAATTTTCATTTTATGACCATTTTACTTTTATAATATATATATATATATATATATATATATATATAATATAAATGTCTATGGTACTACCATTTTAGTGTTTTCCTTCTTATCAATACAACAAAATATTAAAAAAAAAGTAATTTTAAAGACAAAAAAAATATGTAATTTTAGTGACCTATATATAATGATGAGTGATGAAAAAATATATATATATATAAGAAAGCATGTGTTTAAGACAATATAAAAAATAAGAGAGAATCATTAATCTCACCAACTTTTCTTTGAATTTATCAAAATATTATAATTACCTTCTTGTTATGTGGTATCCTTAAATGGATGAGAAAAAAGAGCATATTTTTAATTTACAAGTTATTAGAATACCTTTGCACTCTTTTGACTTTTTAGTGTATATGATCAATACGTAAAATGATTAAATAGAAAAAAAATGCATGAACTCGGTCAATTTTTCAATAAAAGATATACGAGTTAGCTCATAAAATTATTTATAAGTAAATAATCATAAGAATTTGATATTTTTTCTTTCTTTCTTAATATAACGTGTCTACATATTATTATAGCCACTTAAAAATATACACATTTGAATGGAAATTCGAATAAAAAGTAATTTTTAGGGAAGAAAATATTTAATTTATTTTCTAAATAATCGTGGTTTAATGTTAGACACACTATATTAAAAAGTTAATATTTGTCTAAAACTTAGTTTGAATGGGGGAAGCGAGTACAAGGAAAAAGAAAATAGAGAAAATAAAATGAGAAGTGATGTTATTCGAATTAAAGAAAAGTAAAAAAAAAATAGAGAAAAAAATAGTAAATGTAGTTAAAAAAATTAAAATAATTGTATTAAAAATTAATTTATTAATTTGCCATTGATTGAACTACTTAAGAAGGAAAGCATTGTACGTAGTGTTAATGTTAGGCACACTCCATATTAAAAGTGCCGAGACTTTGTTTGGGTTGTGGTAGGAGTAGAAAGAAAAATAAAAGAGGAAAATCATAACGAGAATTGATGATGCTTGAATTAAGGATAAATAAATAAATCCTTTTAAGAAATGTATTTTATTGGATTTTGTTAAAAACTTCAAAATGTATTTTAAAAAATACAATATTTTAAAAAATATATTTTTTAAAACTTCAAAATGAAATATTTCGAAAGCATGTCAGAATAATAATAATAATAAATCCAAATTAAAAGAAAAAGGTTAATATTTTTAAATAAGTTAAGAAGTTAGACCGAATATTTAAGATTGCATTGAATGCTTGATGGCGCCACCTTCCATTTCTCATTCTTACCTACCCTTCGCCTTTCTTTTTTCTTTAAATTTCCCATTCCTACATATCAAATTAACTCACTCACTGCTTTACCAATGTCGCTCTCTTCCGTAACCGCCGTAGACGTCGAAAACGTCACCTTCCCTCCCACCCTCAACCCTCCCTCCTCCGCCACCGCCTTCTTCCTCGCCGGTGCCGGCGTCAGGGGCCTCCAGATTCAAGACAATTTCGTTAAATTCACTGCCATTGGGATCTACCTCCAACCTAACGCCGTTCCTCTTCTCTCCGTCAAATGGAACGCCAAGTCTGTTCAAGAATTAACGGAATCCATCGAATTCTTCAGAGACATCGTGACAGGTAATCAACCTATTACTAACTGAAATTACATATGTCTGGTCATTATTCCTTTTCAATTGTTATATCTAATTAAGAAGTTGTTTTCACTGAAAAAAATTAATTTTACATGTATTAAAATTAAATATTCTGAATAATGGTATAATCATATGACTGTTGTGGATGTAGTGTTCTGAAAATGTGCTGTAACATGTAATGGAACCTCTTTGTAAGGTTTAGAGTTGTTTTCCGCATGTGAATGCGAAGAAATTAAAGGATGTTCTGTTCACTGTTCAGGGCCGTTTGAGAAATTTATGCAGGTGACAATGATCTTACCCTTGACGGGGCAGCAATACTCAGAGAAAGTTGCAGAAAATTGTGTTGCCATTTGGAAGTCTCTTGGGATATACACTGATGCAGAAGCTCAGGCAATAGACAAGTTTGTTACTGTTTTCAAAGACGAAACATTCCCACCAGGCTCCTCTATCCTTTTCACAGTGTCACCCAATGGATCATTATTGGTTAGTGATTATGGTGTTCTAGCTGTTGTCATGCATCAATTTCACATCATGTCATTTCTTACACATTATGTTGTTTCTAGAAATATTAGTACGTTTTTTTTTCATTCTTTAATCAGAAATCTATATTGCAAACAGATAAGATTCTCTAAAGATGGATCCATTCCAGAAGAAGCCAGCACTGTTATAGATAATAAACTACTTTCAGAGGCTGTGTTGGAGTCGATGATTGGTAAGCATGGCGTCTCCCCTGCAGCAAAACAGAGTTTGGCCACCAGATTATCTGAGTTATTCAAAGAGGGGGGTGTCCCTGAATCTCATAACTGATTTTATCACCATCTGATGATGAAAATCCTTTACCACTTTGGTGTGTTACCAATAAATAAGGGGGAAATTTCAGATTTTACTTGTGTTGTTATCCTTTGTTGTATAAGTTCTGAATTGATGTATTTGATTTTTCGTTGTGAATCAACTGATTATGCTTAACTGTTTTGCATGCTTCAGGATTTCTGCTTATTGAAATCAAACACAGTACATGAAATTTGAATGAAAAAAAGTTGTGAAAAAGTAGTCAACTTAATTTGACTACCTTTATAATAAGTTTAAGAAAATGTCAATTTGGCTCAACCTGATTCGGGAGACATGTTCGTGGGTTGGCTAAAGAAGAATAAGATAAAAAAGGAAAAAAAAATGTAAAGTAATAATGCGCCTAAAGTTTAATTTTATAATAATTTAATAATGCATAATGATGAGAGTGATGTAAATTAAAGATCATGGCAGTGCTAAAAATAGTAGTTTGATCAGGTCCATCTCATATATTATCAAAAATTAATAAATTGAAGGAAAAATTATATACTAAACAGAATGGACAAAAGAACATTGTTTTTTCAATGAAAGTGATTACGCAATAATGGGCAACAATAGTATAAAAAAAAAAAAAAAACGAATGTCTGGTTTACATTATTCAGATTATGAATACATTTATTTAGATTAAGAGTAACACAGGAAGTGTACCACCAATGGCTGAGGAGACAACATTGAATATCTCATGCATTTCTCAGTTTTCACTCAGTCTTGGAATTGTCCTCTTTCAGAAACTCATAAAATCTTGTAGCCAAACTCTGTTTCAAAGCAGGAGAAACAGGAATCTCTCCAATCATAGTCTCCAGCACTGCCTCTGAAAGTGCCTTGTTCTCTATCACTGCATACTCATTTTCTGGAATCGTCTCATCTTTTGAGAAACTAAGCTGCAATTTGTGGAAGAAAAGAAATGTTGTAAACTGTATGTGTGCACAGGTTCATTATACTATGCAATTCCACAAACAGTTGGTGACTATACTAACCCCCAATGTTCCAGTGGGTGATTGCCTATAGAAAACAGTTGAACCTGGTGGGAAATGTTGATCCTTGAATGCATATCTGAATTCCTCGATAGCTTTTTCTTCTGCTTCACCGTAACTTCCATTGGATTTCATAAAGTTCACACAGTTCTCAGATACTTTCCTAACATATTCAGGTCCATCCAATGTTCTTACCTTTGACCCTCGAATAAATTTTTCAAAGGGACCTGATTAGACACATTCATTCAACAATTTTGTAAATGATGAAATGACAATAATTCAATCGTATAAAGAATATAATTGTTGGACATGTTATAAAAATCAACAACAAACTATAAAAAAATCTCATTGAATATCTACCACGAATAAAGACATAAAAGAGAAGACAGAGCATTTCAATCTGAACTACTTACAATAATGGGGTTGAGTTTATGCATTGAATGTATCAAACAAAACTAATTGTATAATTCAAGAATGACACTATTAAAAAAGAAAAAGGCTATAAAAGACAAAATCCTGAGTCTCAGGTTGTCTTAAATGCATGTGCTAAGAAATTATTTAAATTTGAACCAATAATTTCATAGTAAAAGAGTTAATATATTATAAGCTCAGAAAATTACAGTCACATTAACTACTCTTTCAAAAAGGCCAACACAA